TTTGATGTAAAACTTACAAGGGGAAAAGGTAAGCCAGGGTCAGCTGCATGTGAGAAGGCTGTAGTAGAATGGGATGCAGAGCTCACTGACCGCCTCAGGAGCTTCTTGGGGAGACGCCCGGCCTGGTGCTGCCACCAGACCACCATCTGCGACTCCTTGATGCTTCCCAGCAAGAAGAAAGGTCTCCTGGAGACGCTGCCCACTCCCTGTAATTAGAGTCCCGGTGATGGCCAGGGCCACCCTCATCCCAGTGTCGAGGCTCCCGGCCCAGGAGCAGCGTGCAGAGAGAGTACCCAGAACCCTCAGAGCCCGCTGAGGCATGTTCCCAACATCTAGATAAAAAGTAACTTTAAGTGGATGAAAGTATTGAGTAACGATTGAAACAATCGCTTTGGAAGAGAAATGTGAAAAGTGATAAGGTTTATCACATTGATTATTTTGGAATTCTTAGGATGCAGTTGTGAACATTTTACTTAAAACTAGTTCATTAGTTCTTTTTTAAAAAATCAGTTTTTTTGTTAGGGGTTTTTTTGGTATTTAAATTTATTTCTTCTTACTAATATCAGCTTATATGCTGGTAAAGATTTCCAAAAATAAGTACCATTTCAAAAATTAACATGTTATTTCCAAGTCTCAGTTCTTGGTTTCCAGTGATATTTAGCAAGGTTTTAGGTCATCAAAAATTGGAGGAGCCCACTGGGTTATTGTAGAGAAGGTAATGGTGTACTGGTCTCTTGCCAGGAACATTTTCTGCAGATTTGCTTTTAAGGAAGGTTGTTATATTGTTTTCTCCTCCTTGTTTTCACCAGGGATGCAGTCATTAAGTGCTGTTCTTCTCTCATAAGTTGAAAACCAGAAGCTTTTGGAAAAGAATGTTTGAAAGCTGATACTGTGTCTTTGGTGAAGTATGCTTTTCCCAATACAGTGATCATCCCACAAACCACTGCTGTGACCATTTAAGACCATTTGTATACTGGCGAAAGATGTGTGTGTAATTTAACTGTTAGATCCTTGTAACTTTAAATTCATTATGTGCCATTAATACGTTCTTCCAAAGATGAGATTTTAATCATTGCCAACTGTAAATTTTTTTTTGTCAGTGTTTTAATCTTTTCAACAGCTTTTGAGATGTGAATATTTAAGGGTAGATCTGTGCCACAAGGTGTAGTCAGCTTTTTTGGCTCTGTTCCACTGTCTACAAGTTTTTAAACATTTTTTTTTTTTTTTACTTAACTGTGAAAGTTTTTACTTTAACCTAAAAATGGCTTATTATATGTAATAAAAAATAATATATACATCTTTACAATTTTGAAATAAAGGCACACATGGAAAAATAACATTTTCTAGATCAAATTGATATTAAGTAGGTGGTACATTGATTCAGTTCCATAAAACAGGACTGTGCAATCTTTTGTTAGAAAAATGAGTAAGATACAATCTTTGTCC